CTGATACCCTCTCATGACCCCCCCCCCCCCCCCCCAGAGGTCCAGACCCCAGGTTGAGAAACACTGATTTAGAGCCTTCCTTGCTCGTTTTTTGCACACGATATCCAAGACATTCCATAAATCTCAAGATAACCGACAGTAATACATATCATGCTGCTGAATGCATTGTAAAATCGCCAATAAACTTCCAACATAAAATGTGTGTGAAGAAAACTTGCTACATCATTTTTTAAAAAAAAATGGCAAGCATCCATAGAGTGGTTAGGTATGCAGTACCAATAGCAGCAAGCATAGGCAACTCAATTTCTTTATTTCCAAATGGCTTTTGGAAGTGTCTCAAATGTCACTGGAGAATCAGGAAACAGCAATTCAATTATCCCTGCTCCATTCCAAAGTTGCTTGAGTGATATGAACCCTCTAATAAGGATCCAAAAGTGGGTCCAGAAGACTCACAAGCAGTTAAAGATGCTCTATTTCTGGAGCAAGTGACATTCTGCAGTGACTTTTGAAGCTTCCATGCCAATTGGATTGGTGAATCTGTTCTGAAGTTTAGTCCAAACTTTGAATAGGATTCATCACCATGGGTAGCTCCTTTAACATTTGGACTCAAATCTGGATTGGATACACTGCACACCAACTGAAATATGAAAGCCACCAACTGGAACTGCAACTATTGGGATCCTAACACATTATGCTGTTATAGCACTATTATTAATAATAACAACACTTCGTTTGTATTCCGCCCTTCTCCTTGAGGGGAAACAGAGTGGATATAAACAGCATATAAACAGACACAGGCAAACATTCAATGCCTTATTACAGTGAAATACAATGAAACACAAACAACACAGACAAAGGCAAATGCTTCTCCTTTCATTTCCGGCTCTGGAGACGGTGCTCAACTTCGGCTCTGGGGAAGGTGTTCATCTCTATTTCCAAGCCGAGGAGCCTTTGTTGTCCATAACACTTCCTGGTCATGTGGTTGGCATGACTGCCTGGAGCGTCCTTTGCCTTTCCTGCCAAAGCAGTGCCTATTAATCTACTCATATTTGCAATTTTTTGAACTGCTAGGTTGCCAGGAGTTGGGGCTTACAGCAAGAGCCGACCCTGTCCTGCAGATTCAAACTAAACTTTCAGGTTGGCAGTTCAGCCATACAAGGGTTTAACCCATTGCATTACTGTGGCCCCTCCATCTGCTTTAACTGCCATGGTGATATTTTGTGGAAGTCTAGGGTTTGTAGTGTAGTGAGGACAAGAATGCTCTGGCTGAGAATACTAAATGTCCTTCCCTAAACTACAGACTCCAGCATTTCATACAATGTTGGCATGGCAGTTAAAGTAGAATAACAGAGCTACAACGGCATAGTGTGACAGGGCCTTCTGGCACTCTCCATTGCCAGGAAATGGCCATCTTATTTTGCTTCTTGCATCTCTTGTGTGAGGTTTCTTGCCAGCTTCTTCCTCTCCTTTCTTCCCTCTCTCCCACCCTATTCCTCTCTCGGTCCCTTTTCTTCTTAATTATATGCCTTCACTTTCCCTCACATATATCCGCACATATTTTAAGCCCTCGCACGGCATGGAGGTGGGAGGAGAGGAAACCATTTAGGAGCAGAGAAAGAGAAGGAATTGGAAACCTAAGCCTTGCCTTCACCCCAACATCTCAATTCCTGACTGTATTTTGTACTTCTTCCAGTACAAAATAGGTTATTGGCCTATCACCATACACCACGATGTCCCTCCACTGAATATACTCGTCTTTCAGTACCTAGGCATCATGTAGAGGTTTGGATAACCGCCAACTTGAGCATTCACATCTCTTACGGTACTTCCAGATGAAGCCTTTAGTGTGCATTATCTTGCCATAAATGCAGAATTTTACAAGTGGTTCAGAGAAAAGTGTTCTCTGTTTGTAAAGTTCTCTCATCCACTCATGTTTTCCCCTCACTTTTTCCCTTTTTTTTTTCTTACCACAAAAATAAGGAAAAAAGACAAGAGTAGCTCTGCAATGACTATGAAACAATTGTTATTGATACAGAAGCTATATTTTCTACATGTACAAAATGACTCCCGTATTCAGAGTTTCACCTACCCGCATCTAACAAAATATGTCCTCTCTAGGTCCTCGGGGCAAAAAGTTGCCATATAATTGCCCAGGAGAACCTAGTAAATTCATAAAGGATACCTCTCTGAGAATCTTCTAGGTATGCTAGTATGACTCTAATGCAGTGGTTCCCAACCAGTGGTCCATGGACCATCAGTGGTCTGCAATAAATAATAATAATAATAATAATAATAATAATAATAATAATAATAATAATAAAATAATAATAATAATTAAGGCCAGGATTGAAAAATCAGCTGATGACCCAAAATGCAGACTGTTCAAGAAAGCTGATGAAACCATGAACTATATCCTCTGTTGCTGCAAGAAAATCACACAGACGGACTACTCTGTGGCCCAAATGATCCACTGGAACTTATGTCACAAGTATTACCTGCCAGTAGTAAAGAACTGGTGGGATTATTAACCTGCAAAGGTAGTGGAAAATGAACACGCTAAAATACATCACACAGTCCTTGAAGCTTGGGAAGTGTTTGACTTGTGATTTTGTGATATGAAATCCAACATATATGTCTCATTTGCTGTGACATACTGTGTTTTTGTGTCAGTAAAATAATAATAACAACAACAACAACAACACCTTTAATCGTATATCCTTCCACCATTTTCCCAAAGAGATTTGGGGTGGCTTGCATAGGGACCAGGCCCAGTCAAACAGAATTAAAATACAGTACAATAAAATACATTAAAACAAAAAACCATACAAAACATCATAAAAACATAAACCATCAACAACCAACAACCAGTAGCAGAGCACAATGGGCGTGTTCAGTGTTGAGAGGGCAGGGCAATACAACTACAAGGGCGGCGTTGGTAATAAAGTGCAAAAGCCAGATATTAAGTCAATTGAACCAATTAATCAAAGGCATATTGGAACATCCAGGTTCATAAGGGAAGATGTGATTGTGAAGAGAGGCTGGACCCAAACTGTTTAGGGCTTTGTAGGTGATAACCTTCACCTTGAATTGGGACCTGTGTCCCAAAAAAGAACTACAATATGGTCCGCGAAACATTTTAAATTTTAAACCTTTATTCATTTTATTGAATCTGTTGCTACACAGGCATCACTGGTGAGTAGGACATCGGGCAAGCACGGCAGGCCAGGGAGGACGGCAAGTGATTGACATCACGTGTCATGTACTCACGCCATCAGTGTCAATCAGTCATACACATTTTTTTTGTCTTGTTCAGCTGTGCCAGTGATTCTGTTTTGCTGTTTAGTGATTCGACAGCTCCAGTAATTTTACTGGCCATGAGTCCCCAATATTCATATTAATTTTTGACTTATTTAATGATGATTGAAATGAATTTCAATTGTGATGAAAAAGACAATATAGCTTTGTCTTTTTCATCCAGGAAGACCTCATGGAATTTCAAAATGATACAAACTGCAAGGATGTGTTTGAATCTGATTCTCTTGAGGAGTTTTGGTGTAAAAAAGCAATTTTAATACTATTTTATTTATCAAGCCAGAAGCGAGCCAAGGGTACAGTTGTAATATTTAAAAACACAAACAAAGTTTGAAACCATTATCCTAAATGTCCTTTGACCAGAAGCTGGCCACCTGGAGTGCCTTTGGTCTTGCTAAAAGAAAGCCCTCCATTGTGCATGTGGCGGGGCTCAAACTGCATTGTAATAGGTGATCTGTGGTTTGCTCTTCTCCACACTCACACGTCATGGACTCTGCATCTTGTGGTGCCAGAGCGCAGTCTGTTCAGTGCCTTCCAAGTTGCCCAGTCTTCTGTGTGCCCAGAAGGGAGTCTCTAATTTGGTATCAGCCATGGCTCGAGGTTTCACGTTTTCACCTGCCACTTTTAGACTCTTGCTTGCTGAGGATCACGGTAGATCTTAGAAAATTATTTCTTGATTTAAGGTGTTGGCGTACTGGCTGATATCTGAACAGAGGATGGGCCGGAGATGTCACTGCCTTGGTCCTTTCATTATTGGCTGCTACTTCCTGGCAGATGCAGGTGGTGCAATACCGGCTAAACAGTACAATGACTCCAGTGGTGTGGGACATAGGCATGCTGTGATAATGCAGCATAATGTGATGAGATGTATTCCATACTGGGCACGTGTATTCAGCAGCAGAGTAGCAAAGCGCAAGGGCAAACGTCTTCAGTGACTTGCAATTTTTATACTAAAATTTGAGGAATTGCCTTATGCTATCTTATGCTCTTCTCCACAACTTATTTATGTAAACAATGTTTTTCTGCTTTGCTGGTCATTAAAAATAAATCCAGGAATCGATTGAAAATAAGTAATGATATGCGTGTTGCTTTGAGCAATAATATTAGCCAGGATTAGCCCCAGATTACAAGTTGTAAAGAAGATGCAAGCTCAAAAAATCACATTAATGCAAACCAAATTTAATTTTCTATCAAAATGTTATTTTATATTATAATAGTACTTTTAATTCATGTTAATATTAACTTTAACAAATATATTAAAAGTTTTGTTTAAAGTTTATTTTTAGATTAATAGTTTATTATTCTTGAACTTTGTGGTCCCTGCTAACAACAAAAAGATCAAAGTGGTCCCCGGTCAGAAAAAAAGGTTGGAAACTACTGCTCTAAGGTAACTTCTGGCATATATCATTAATTTTAATAGGGTTAGCTATTATTCACCATTTTCTGTTTTCCATGGGAACTTCAGGAACATATTCCCAATGGATACAGAAGTCCACACTTACCACAACATTTCAACAACTGGAAGAGAAAGGCCAATTTTGAGACTTTCTCAACTACGTTTTCCAAGCATGGCTTAAGTAAATAAGTGTGCCTAGAAAGGCAATTCCTAGGGGTGTCCCTTTCACCCAAGAGATCTCTGTGCTGCTCCAATACCCTTTTCTCCTGTTAAAAAATGAAAAGCCTTTTACCCTGAGATGAGGAGTTGACAGCAACTGGAGCAGTTCTTTCTCGTCATTATTCATTGGGGCCGTCTGCAATTCTTCTATCACCTTACAAGGGAACAAGCACAACAAAAAGATTGAAAAATCCCTCCATGCAACAGAGAGTCGAGAGACAGCATATTATTATATCCTGCTTGCATTTCCAGGTCAATGTTGTGCTAATCGTGTCGTCACACTCCAGAGAAGCCACAGTAATTACTAGCAGAAGGTAAAAGGAAGCCTCTATAAAGGAAACAAATGCCTTCCAAGGTAGGCACACATGAGAAGTCACAAAAATATCATAAGACACTGGCTTAAGCCAGTGGTTCTCAACCTGTGGGTCCCTGGGTGTTTTGGCCTGCAACTCCCAGAAATCCCAGCCAGTTTACCAGCTGTTAGGTTTTCTGGGAGTTGAAGGCCAAAACATCTGGGGACCCACAGGTTGAGAACCACTGGCTTAAGCTGAATCAAACCATTGTTCTATCTAGCCAGTGGCTTAACTAGAAGTGCTTCTACACAACAGAATTAATGCAGCTTGATTCCACTTTAACTGCTGAGGGTCAATACTATGGAATCATGGAGAGACTCCCATATTGTTTTGGCAGGAATGTCTAAAGATCGTTGTAAAATTGTTTGCAAATAACCACTGTGCTGTCGCACGCTGGGCCTGTGCATAAGACTGTAGACAGGACATAAATTCTGTGTGCCCAACTGAGGGGCTGCCTCAGATTAAAGGCCCTTGGATTTCCTTAAAACAGAGTCTTTAGATTGCTTAAAGGTTCAACAAAGTTCTTTATTAATGAAAACAAACAGGTACTTTAAGGCTTTCTTAACTGTCTATTGGCTCTCTCTCAATCTTGTCCACAGGGAACAGGCACTATCTTCATAACTGTAACTAATGGGGGAATCCTTAACTTCTAATCTGGGCAGTCTGTCTTTGCCTCTGTTGGCGTGGAGCCCCTGCACCCGGTACCAACTGCATCTGGCTTCCGCGAGTGACTCTTACCGAGCAGAGTTTTGTAGACTTCCAGGGGGAAAAAAATTCAGGTTTCCATGATGGCTGACTGAAGTCCTTCAGCAAAGGAGCTGTAGGGCTGTATAACCCCGGCCAAGCTGTGGGCTGTATATCTCCCCGGCCAAGCCGTAGAAGACGAAGCTTCCTACAGGAGCTCTTGGCATTATGCCCTGCATGAAAGGCTTCTCTGTGTGGACTGAACCCAAAATGGCTCCTATTCCTTCCAAAAACCCAAAAAGGGGGCGGGACCAGGGAACCTAACTATAATTGACAGGTGGCTTGCCCTATGATTGCAGCCAAAAGAAGCCACCTATCCGCAGAGTCCCTGAAACTTAGGAGTACAGCAAACATTCGATGCAAATCAAACAAAATTGGAGCTCCTGGTACAGTTGTACCTGCACAACCACACAATACATAGTTTAATAGCACTGTTTTATTTCTCCTCTAACATTTGATAAGACCACCCTCATAACTGTATAAGCAATTGAAAACTTGTCAAAACACTGCAAGGGACTAAAATTATCTTATGATAAACTTGAAGTCATAACGCAATTTTGTATTAATTTTTCCAAGTTTTATTTGGGGTGGTTTATATGCCATTGCTATCAAAGTCTGGATGGGAATGTTATGGAACATGATATTAAAAGAGAATAAGGAGGAAGTACATTACGAACTGGGCAAAACAATTAGAATAAATGGGATGCATCTATAGAAAGAAAAGAGTAGGCCGAACTGGAGGTGGTGTTTTGCTGTGTTATGTCAAAGGCAGCCAACTTCCAATAATCTAGTAGTCTTGAAAAAAGCATAAAAGCTTTATCTTTGCAATCTGTCTGGAAAGAATTCCTCTCCCCTAAAAGTCATAACAGAAGGGCTGCTTCTACAGCTCCATTAAATCACAGGGAAAAGGTGCATAGGTCAGCTTACCACCACAATTCAATAGGTTTGTGGGTGGCAAGAGACTTCAATCCAGTCTGAAAGAGTCATATATTGAAAGGGAAATGTCTCCTCTTATCACCAGATCCATAACAAGAACACGACTCTTCAAGACAGAAATAAAAGCAAGAAGCAGCCACATCTCACAATTATGCACTTAATCACCAATCTGACAGACGTTGACTTCGGCAGAGGTTATGTAAGTTCTTGAAATTCCCCAATGGTTTCATGAGCCGATGCAAATGACAGAGAGAAATTTTCTATGTGGGCGAAACAACCTTTTATTGGCAAGGATCACATTCCCCCAAATGAAGGATTGTTGACTGGCAGAGGTCAGATTAGTTAGGAACAAAGCAAGCTGTGGGTGCAACCAGACCTTTGTTCCAAAGTTTGGAAATACTAATTTGGGGGACTATACCTTGAGCATTCAGGTGTGGGGGGGAGGGTTATTCCATAAAATGTACCTTTACCATGCTGTGAGTCATTCACATATATCTCAGCTATTGATGCCCCCCAAATACAATTCCTGTAGATAACTCTTTAACTGCCATGGTACTATTCTGCATTAACAGGATGTGTGGTTTGGTGGGGTACTTCTCTAGGACACTCCCAGACCTATATTATTATTATTATTATTATTATTATTATTATTATTATTATTAGGTTGTGGTACGTTTTTTAGATTATATGGCCATGTTCTAGAAGCATTCTCTCCTGACACTTCACCTGCATCTATGGCAAGCATCGTCAGAGGTTGTGAGTGTTGGAACTGTTTGCAATTTATAATGTAGATTTCAAAGTATGTATGTTTAAAATGCAGTAGCTATGTGCCGAGTGTATTCCTGTGTGGAAAGAGTTAAGCCGCACCGAGTCCCTTGGGGAGATGGTAGCGGGGTACAAATAAAGTTATAGTTATTATTATTATTATTATTATTATTATTATTATTATTATTATTATCTGAACCATGGAGGGAATGGCATTCCTAGAGAGGTCATAAATCAAGTGTATAGAGCAAATGGAGGCAGCGTCATACGTCACTCTGGAATGCAGGAGGTGTGGACTAGTACTGATAACTGTTTGCGATGTTACGATTGGACGGAAAGGGAGCAAGTTTATGATGTGCTGAGTATTAAGTAGCTTCTAATGTATATAGCTGTAAATAAAGTAGTTTATAGCCTAAATAGATCGATCTGTTCCTGCCTTGCTGTACGGCCGATGCCACTGACAGTGAGGTCAAAACCTCTGGGAATGCTTGCCATAGATGCAGACAAAGCATCAGGAGATAATGCTTCTAGAACATGGTCATATAGCCCCAAAAACTTACAACAACCCAGTGATTCCAGCCATGAAAGCCTTCAACAATATATTATTATTATTATTATTATTATTATTATTATTATTATTACCCGCTTTATCTCCCCAAAGGGGACGCAAAGCAGCTTGACATAAAAGCATTAGTATACTGCTTAAAAGATCCAAAAATGCAAACATTAAAATAAAATTAAACGCAAACAGCACTAAAAAAAATCACAGTTAAAACTCATCAAAATATTTAAAAAGCCACAGCGACCCTTGACTAGATCTTAAACACCTTCATCTTTAAAAGCCTGTCCGAATGAAAAGGTTTTAGACTGCTGCTGAAAGGGCAGCAGGGAGGTGGTCATTCTGACTTCCCTGGACAGAGTTGAGGGGCAGCACTTTGAATTGTGCTGGGTAACAGACTGGAATCCAGTGGAGCAGCTGCAACAGAGGGCTTGTCCGCTCCCTGTAACCAGCATCAGTGAGCAACCTGGCTGCAGCTCTTTGGACCAGCAGGAGTTTCTGAGCACTCTTCAAAGGCAGCCCCACGTACAGCACATTGAAGTAATCCAGATGGGATGTAACTAAGGCATGGACCAGTGGAGCAGCTGCCACAGAGGGCTTGTCCGCTCCCTGTAACCAGCACCAATGAGCAACCTGGCTGCAGCTCTCTGGACCAGCAGGAGTTTCTGAGCACTCTTCAAAGGCAGCCCCACATACAGCACATTGACGTAATCCAGATGGGATGTAACTAAGGCACGGACCACTGTGGCTAGATCTGGCTTCTCAATGAATGGTCACAGTTGGCGCCCAGGTTTTAATTGTGCAAAGGCCCTCCTGACGACTGCAGATACCTGGGCCTCCAGGTTCAGCACTAAATCCAAGAGGATCCCTAAACTGTGGACTTGTGTCTTCAGGCAGAGTGTGACTCCATCCAGCACAGGCTGGATCCCTATTCCCTGATCTGCCTTACGACTAACCAGGAGTACCTCTGTCTTCTCTGGATTTGTTTACCCTCATCCATTACTGATGACATGCACTGGTTTAGGGTCTATACATCTTCCTTGGCTTTAGATGGAAAGGAGTAGTAGAGTTGGGTGTCATCCACATATATGGGGCACCATATTCCAAAACTCCGGATGACCTCTCCCAGTGGTTTCATGGGAAACAAAGTGGAACCCTGAGGAACAGGTTAATGGCCAGGGGTTTGAACAGGAGTCCCCCAGCACCACCTTCTGCGTACAGCCCTCCAGGAAGGACCAGAACCACTGAAAGACAGTGCCTCCCAGTCCCATACTGGCGAGTCAACCCAGAAGTATACCATGGTCAATGGTATCAAAAGACATTATAGTATTGAAATCCTCTAGCAGAGAATTTTTAGTATCTCAAGAAACTACAAATCCCATAGTTTGACCTCATCTGGGGCCCAATAACACTCTTGGTGCTCTCACAGTTTGTACTATGCAATAAGAAAGTTACACTCAAACTTACATCTTCTGCTAGAGCTGAGGCACTGTGGAGAACTGGGACCGGACTCTGCCGTTCATAATGGCACAACTTTTCATGAATCTGAAATGGAAGACAAAGTTGACAAAGTTACTTTTTTGAATGGCACCACCCCCCTCATGAATCCCCCAGCCAACATAGTCAGCAACCATGCAGATAAGTTTCAAAGTGTGAATCATCTTCAGTAATAGTAGTTTTCAAACCCTTTCTCACAGAGAGAGGAAATTCCCCATTGCTTCCTTCAAAGAGAAAATTAGCATTCCTAGTATGACCATATTTCCTCCTAACATGGCTCTCAACCAGTATCTACTTTATAAAAGGTTGGTCATTGTTTGGTGCTGTCGAGTCCATTTCAATTTATGGAAACTCTATGGATGTGGGATATCAAAGGCAATGGAGTGCATCTACATTGCAGAATTAATGCAGTTCAACAGCACTTTTAACTGCCATAGCTCGATGCTATCGAATTCTGGGTGTTCTAGTTTTACAAGGTCTTCAGCCTTCTCTACCTAAGAATATTGGTACCTCACCAAACTATTAATCCCATGATTCCATAGCACTAAGCCATGCCAGTTAAAGTGTTATCAAACTACACTAATTCTACAATGTAGATGTACACCTTGACATCAACAGCCTTTGCTCAGGTTGTGCAAACTCAGGGATGTGGCTTCTTTGATTTTAATATGCAAAACTTTTAGAAGTCAGCACAAACCTTTCTTGCTTGCTTGTTATCAATTCCCTTTACTGATGAGTTTGTTAAAAAATATTATTATTTGTTATTCATTGCAGGTATGTTTTTTAAAGCTCTATCAAGCACTCTGCAAAGCCTACTGGCAAGAAGTGCTATTAAAATTCATCAGCACGACTTTTTGTGTATTCTACTGTTCTTGCTTCCTTCAAAGATCTGAGAAACAGCCTTTGCACATTCCCAATAGATAATCTTCTTTCAAGAAGATAACTTCAAATTCATTGCCCCTTGACCCAACTGGCAAAGTTTAATAATATCCACATTTGACATCAATTATATTGCGGATTCAATCCTAGAACCCAGTTTAATGTCTCCTGTGCAGCTTTCTTCCAGGTATCCTTAACTGCAATTCCAAAAATGATTGAGGAAGCAAAGAAAACATCAAAACAACATCAGGTAAGGGAAAGCAAATCCAATTTCCTCCCAATCAGGATACAACTGGCCATAATAACTGTGGAAATAAACACCTCTCTGGGAATATTAGTCCAAAAAACAAACCCACCCACCTCACACCTTTCAGTTAGGAGTAAGGTTGTGCAATGAAAGTACACAAACTTTCGAAGTGTTCACTTATTTGAAATCCATTGGTTTTGGTTTTCATTTATTAGTATGGTATGCCCCCCCCCCCCCTATAGCCACAGTTGGTGTTCCTGAACTTACCATAGAAACAAGAAAATAAGGATAATAATGAAATGTGCAGATGTGGACCTAGAAATTCCATTTTGGAAAATGTGAATCTCCACAACCATTTGAGAAATGGGATTCATAACCTTTTGGGGAAAAACTACTGAACACAGGATAGGAATGACCTTGTTAGAAGTCACAACCTTTTGAAAAATGATGTTCACCAGCATTCATGCAAGGCAACTAGGTCTCTCAGCTATTAAACTGATGTACCTAGGTATGTCTTTGAACTGCTAGGGACAAAGACATGCCAATGCACAAAATATATATTCAGCAGAGTTACATAAGTATTCCTTGAGTTGCCCACAAATATCTACACTCCCTTAAAATATATTTGCCTTTAAATCGTGCTCCAAAGAGACAAAATAAACAGTCTTCTTTAAAAGTAACATAGTTGGCTTACTCACAAATTTCATGTATACAGCATACAGGCACTTTGCTTATGAATCTATAATAGGATTTTGTAGTAATTTCTCTGTGTAGGTAACATGGTGCATCTATCTTAGAAACAATAGTTCATAGTCCAAAACGTATCTCTGTTTTGAGAGTGTAATAGAGTCTCTGTCTAAAGTCTCTAATCATACAGTTCCTGCTGGCATCTGAAAGCAAACTTCTCTACAGGTTTCTCAAAGCAAACACCTGCACTGAAGTCTAAAGCAAACACTGAACTAAAATGGAATCAAAGCCCTGAACATACTCAGTTATGATCACATGGCCTGTAGCCCCTCCCACAGCAAAGAAGTTAGGTAAAATTGCAAACCAATACACACATATAATACAGTAATCGATTATATACATAACAAATATCTAATGGGGGCTTGGGAAGGTTGCTATTTCCAACATTCTGGCTTCTGAATGAGAGCTATACGGTGCATCTACATGGTAGAATTAATGCAATTTGACACCACTTTAAACTGCCATGGATCAATGCTATTTAACCATGGCAGTTGTAATTTTACCAGGTCTTTAGCATTCTCTGCCAAAGAAATCTGATGTGTCACCAACTACAACTTGTTAGTATTAATTCTACAGATGCACTCTTAACTACGCTAAATCAAGGGCTTTGGAAGGAGCTTGAAATACAACCAAGAAGCAAGCTCCCCATTTTATTTCTATGTTTTACAGTGCAGTTTTGGGTTTTGGGATGAAACAAGGATCCAGGGTTTGAATGCTAAACAAACAAGAACACTGAATGGACAGAAAGCCAAGCAAACAGGGTTTTTTTCTCCCCAAAATACAAAGACATTTACCTTCATTAAATAGCTGAGACTTCGCTCGCTAAATATGTCTCTCAGGAACACCATTTCCTCCTTGTGATTTGAATCAGGTCTTAGTTGCGATGTCAGGAGGGCAAGGGTCTCATGCAAACCTACAGGACAAATATGGAAAGCATTTCAGGACCTTTTATCCATCTATAACTCTATCAAAGGCATAGGTCAAATCTTAGTGCCAGCTTCCATCACAGTCACAGCCCAAAAGTGGGGGCTGTAACTGCCAGAATCCCTTGATAGCATAGCCACTGTCCAAGGGTGCATCCATACTGCAGAATTAATGAAGTTTGACACCTCTTTAACTGCCATGGCTTAATGCTATGGAATGCTATGGAGATTCACAAGAGCTTCACAAGAGCTTCAGCCTTCTCACCAAAATTACAATTCCTAGGATTCCATAGTATTGAGCCAAGGTACTTAAAGTGGTCCCAAATTGCTTTAAATCTACTATGTAGATGCACCCCAAGTTGTTCTGGTCCAAAAAATGATTTATTTATTTTTTGCACAGAGACATTTTAACAACATGAGAGAGCAACTACATGTGGGATCCATGCTGAAATACCTCCTTTTTTAATTTTGTTGCCTGCATTGACAATATTGCATCTGGGCCGATGATTGTATTCAAAGAAAGGTTAGCACAGAACCTGGTAGTTCTGCAAATATTGGAAAGTGTTAAATTCTTCTGGGAAGCTTTTTTTTATTTTATTTTATTTTTTTGGTATAAGTAGTGAAAACACATTTTGCTGCTGTAGTCAGCAGGAGAAACAGGACAGGGTCTTCGTAGCCATGGTACAAGAACATAGAAATATTACTACTTGGAACAATAATCTCCAGAATCCCACATAGCAAGGCTATGATACCTGTAGTATCCCACAAGTACTAGTCCAAAGAGGTAACTTTTCCAGTCTCTGAATAGTGTACAACAGTGGTTCCCAACTTTTTTTGACCACTGACCACTTGACCAGGGAGCACTTGAACAGGGACCACTCTCCAACATTAGTACCAAAAGGGTTACGAATCAGTTTTTGGTCAACTTTAGATTTGGTTTGGTTATTTGGGGTGCTGATTCAGAAAATTGCATTGGCCAGACCACATCAGCTAGCCAATGCTGATGTGGTCTATCTGATACAGAACGTATGCCATCCAGTAGTCACCATCTGTTCACCCACAGAAAACCATATTTAATAATCTAGAGCTGATGTGGTAGTAGTAATCTTTTGTGGGTAGTCGGTCTCTCCCCTCCCAACATTCCCGTTACCTCAGCACTTTAAGAGGGTTTCACAAGACCAGTTGCTTTCGTTGTGGCGTAGTTTTGAGGCAACAGTGAGGCAATCATGAGGCCGCAGACCACATTTTTGTTCTGGGAACCACTGGTGGTCCACGGACCATAGGTTGGGAACCACTGGCATACAACCATGAAGCTATTCAACATATTCTCTCTCTTTTCTTGAAAACTACATTTTTTGTGATCTTTGAATTAACAACCTTCTACTTTATGATACTCTTCATACCATTGCTTTTTTATTTTTTTTACTGCCAGTGCCTATATCTTGTTTCTGCAGTTCTCGTTCAATGATGCACTGTTTTAATATTACACAGAAAACCATGTTGGCCATAAAGCAAATTCTAAATTTCTTATTAGGATAATACTGTTATTAGGACAAGTGAATGTAACAAAGGAGCATATGGAAACTTTCAAGTTCAATATTGTAAACAAAGCAAACAAAAGGGGAACCTGGCTGATGTTGTTCAGAAAGTGTGCAGAATATATTAAAAGCAATTTGTCATGTAATTTACTATAGTGTGTCCTCAATTTGTGGTCATCAATGCCAGAAACATTATTTAATTGCTCATTATATTAGTACAGCCTCACAAAAAACTTGCAAGTACAATATTCCCAAACAAACATTGAAGATTTACTGTCTATTGATCAAATTTGCATATCCAGATCCTAAAAACTTTTTAAGAGCTTGTACTGATCAACATACAAATGTTACACAGAAAACATTATGGAAAAGATTTGCAATAAAATATATATCTTCCCATGTTTAAAAATAATATACCACTGGTATCTAACCCCAGTAAAAATGAAATATGTACACAAACACTCATCAAACCAATGCTGGAGGAACTGAAGGGCACTGGGTACATATTTCCACATATGATAAGAGTTATCCAATATTTCTGAATTTTGGGGAAAATATTTTTGAGAATAAGTTAAATTACAAACCAAGCTGTTCCTGCTGATCCAAATATAGAATTTCTCTCTATTTTGTGACATCTGTGGGGCATTCAGGCATAAAGATCTGCTGTTTATTTGTTTATTTTTCTGAAAGACTGATAAAAGCTGAGAATCGGAAACAGAATAGCTCTCAATCGAAGGCTAGCATAAAACATAAGGAAAATAAAACTTACTGAACTTATGGAAAAGCTGGCATATATTGTACAAGATAGAGAAAAACCAATCACAACTAAATTTCTTTTCAATAGTTTCCTATTACACATTTAATCACTGACAGCAGGGAGTTTCTACCTTCTCAACGGTCCCGTTTGGACTCACTGAGCTTTAGTTGAATAATAAATTCAATGTCGTTTTCTCATGCTGTGAAGCTATGAACCAAATATTTCATATAAATCTTGAAAAATCCTAGAAATAATAAGCATTGCCTGGTGAACATAGCAACACCAATCACCTTGTGGGATGGGGCTGTGAAAATCTTATGCCCGAAAGGGACTTGAATTTGGATGTCAGAGGAGCATAAAATGGTGACATCACTTTAACTGCCATGGCTCGATGCTATAGAATAACAGGAGTTGTCATTTTAGAACAGGTGTGAGAAAACTTTGGCCCTTCAGGTGTTTTGGACTTCAACTCCCGCAATTCCTAACTGCCTAGCGGCTGTTAGGAATTGTGGGAGTTGAAGTCAAAAACACCTGGAGGGCTGAAGTTTGCCCATGCTTGTTTTAAAAGGTCTTTTGTCTTCTCTACCAAAGTGTGCTGGTGCCTCATCAAACTACAACTCCCAAGATTCCATAGCATTGAAGCATTGCAGTTAAAGTGATGTCAAACTGCATTAATTCTACAGTGTAGATACATATTTGGTTCCTCTTTGCACAGACAAAAAACTGGGAAATGTGTGGGCAAGCAATAGCATAGTATGGTCCCAACAGACACCATTCTGCCTAAGATGATGGGTGTTGTAGTCCAACCCAACTGGAGCCCAACAGGATGAAGAAGTTTCCATTTTCACCTGCCTCCCCAAAATTACAACTCCCATAATTCTATCGCATTGAACAGTTAGTGTCAAACTGCATTAATTCTACAATACACTCCCAATCAAAAGCTCTAAATACTGCACAATCCTAACACTTATTCAAGTCAAATTAACCTCATATGATTAACCAAACCATCTATAATTTCTTAAGCTGACTACCTTATAGAGCTGTTGTGGGGATTAACTGGGGCCCCTCCCACACAGCTGAATAAAACTCACATTTTCTGCTTTGACAGTGTGGACTCAGATAACCCAGTTCAAAGCAGATATTGTAGATATTTCTATCTTGATATTCTGGGTTATATGGCTGTGTGGAAGCGCCCTGAAACAATGTACTCTGAAAACTCACACAAAATACCAAAGCCTTATTATTCAAAAGACAGGCCAACCATGTACATTTTGGGGGGCTGATCACGACAAGGAACACTGCCAGTTTAACATCACTCTTAAAACATTTCTTCCATTGTTCATTTGGAGAGAATTAAGTCCTAGATAATAGCATTTCATAATAAGATTCCCTCTTCCTCCCCTCCTCACACATCCACTTCTATTCTTAAATTATTTCCAGTGTTATTGTCTTTAACCCAGATTTCCTCTCTCTTCCCCTCCCCTTCACACTTGCACACACACTCATTGCTTGGAACTGTTTTTTCTCTAAGCTCTCTTGCCTCTAGATAGGAAAGGGGGAGAAATCCACCAGACACAGATCCTGGTAGGTGCTAGCCTGTTACAACACACACATGCACACATCTAAATGAGTATTGTGGCACCTTAAAGACAATCAGATTTATTGGGGCGTGAAGTGTTATCCTCAGCTGGCAAATGTATAAAGGGAAAAACATGGTTTTGCCAAATGAGGAAAACTATACCCCATGCCATTAAATAAAAAACAGCCACCTTGTACTGCAGAAGGCAACATAAGTCTTTTTAGATGTTTTTCTCCACCTCCTCCTTCACCAATGGCAGGTGGAGAGAGGATTTTATTTTTTTTAGTCATGATATCCATCTGGGTAGCAGGGTTTTCAGTTGGAAATCTAGCAATGGCTCCTATATCTTTAAATAAGTTGTAGAAGAGGGAATTTCAGCCACATATGTCAAGGTAGAGGAGCCATTGCCAGGTTTCCATCCTGGAAACATCTACAATGAATGTTTAGGTTAGTTCCAAACCAACATAGAAGAAAGAGATTTCAGTATTCAGATGATTTGATTGGCAATCCTGGAACAAGTTTGAGGCCCAGATAATGATTACACACACTGCAGAGGCTGGCCTCGAACTAGTTCCAGGATCCGCAGTCTCCATGGCTTGACAGCTACACTTCAGGTTTCCACACAGTGATTTCAATTCTGCTGAGCTGATTTTGCCATGTGATTCAGTTTATGCTAGAGTGTGCTAATGCACATTATGGGCTTTATATCGGAGTGTCCCTCGACTTTGCTTATCTCGATTTAAAGGGGTTAAAATACACTAGAGCATGTTTTTATGGTGTGCGTTGTAGAGCTGCTACACTTCGAAGCAGCATTAAGTAGACAGTGTTGATCATGCCAGTGTCACAAGCAATGGCTCCTGAAATTCCTTTTCTACACAGCCATTAAAGATACACAATCCTTTTCCAGTTTTCAATCAAACTGCACCCAAGGAAGTTTATACAAGGTTCATTCAGACATCATTTTGGTATCAGGCAAAGTCCATGGGGATTATGATAAAGTCCATGGGGGGGGGGGGCTTTAGCACAGCGGGTTCAACCACCAGATGCAGAAAATCTTGGTGAGTGAAAGGTCGACAGTTCAGGCCCAGATTGCGGTGAGCTCACAACCATCAGCCCAGCTTCTGCTCACCTAGCAGTTCAAAAACAGTAATGTGAGTAGATAAATAAGTACCGCTTTGGCGGGGAGGTAATAAAAGGCACCCATGTGGACATGCTAGTGATTCAATTGGGAGAGCACCTGAAGACAACAAAGCTCCTCAACATGGAGGATGGAGCGATAGCACCTCCTGTGGCCAGAGTCGAGCACAGCCTCCAGCTGTTAGAGATGGAAAAATATGGGGAGCTTTTACCTCTGTTTATGTACTGTCTGTCTTTGTTAATTGTATAATGGCATTGAATGTTTGCCATATATGTGTTCTGTAATGTGTTCTGAGTCCCTTCGGGGAAATACGGCGAAATATAAATAAAAATTATTATTATTATTATTATTATTATTATTATTATTATTATTATTATGCTTATTCCGTTGCTACAGTGGTGTAGCACTTTGAGTGTTGAATAAGGACTTTGGGAGACCAGGGGTCAAATCCTCACTCAGGCATGAAAACCTACTGGTTGCCACTCTCAGCTTCAGAGGAAGACAAAAGCAGCCCCTCGCTGAACAATTCTTGCCAAGAAAACCCAGTGATAGGATCACCAAAAGTCAGAAATAACTTCAAGTCAAATAACAATAACAATGACTTGGCCATAGTAAAATCATGTCATGTAGTGGTTTGAATGCTGGGGTATGATTCTGGAGAAATTCCAGCAAATGGACACCATAGAATGATATGGAGCATCTAGAAAAGTCCTAGGGAGAATATATTTTGTTAGATGTGGGTAGATGAAACTGCGGAGTCTTGCTGTATATCAATATTGTATCCATGACAGTCTTCCTGCCCACTTTGTCTTCCAAACAAGACTTTGAAGTATATCAAGCTGAGAGAGTGACTAGCTGAAGGTCACCCAGTGAGTCCACAACTCAATGGGCACTAGAACATTTATTTGCCACATCCCAGTACAGCATTGGCATTACTAGAACACACTGGTTCCTACACAAATTACCTGAAAACACAAAGATTGGTGCTTTTCACATAATACCATTATAACACTATGATACCACTCTGACCGTCATGACTCAATCCTATGGAGTCCTGGAATTTGTAGTTTTGTAAGGCACTTAGAAGGTGGTGCAGCAGGTTATACCTCTGAACTGCTGAACTTGCTGACAGAAAGGTTGGCGGTTCGAATCCAGGGAGCAGAGTGAGCTCCCACTGTTAGGCCCAGCTTCTGCCATCCTAGCAGTTCAAAAACATGCAAATGTGAGTAGATCAATAGGTACTGCTTCTGTGGGAAGGTAACAGCGCTCTCTGCAGTCATGCTGATCACATGACCTTGGAGGTGTCTGCGGACAACACCATCAATTTAGAAATGGAGATGATCACCACTCCCCAGAGTCAGACACGACTAGACTTTATGTCAAGAGGAAACCTTTACCTTTACCTTTAAGGTACTTGGAATCCTCAGGCAGAGAATTCTAGTGTGTCAGCAAACTACAAATCCCAGGATTTTCTAGCATGCAGCCACAGCAGTCAAAATGGGATATATGAAAGAGAACTCAGTTGGACAACATGCTAAGCTTCCTTACCTGAATCTTCTGACAGGACAGGCATGGCTTGTTTCTTACTCACTCACTATCTACAGATAATAGTTGTCTGTGAACCGGATGTCCAGTCTACTTCCGAGGGCCAGGATTTACATGTGAATATGCCTGTAAAACAAACAAAAGTGCATGAAAAATGCTTTCATGTTTCTTAAAGAAAGCAAAGAACAAGGGAACATGTTGATTTTTATCAGGACAACTAGGTAAGGAATTATAACAGCGCTCTCATAAATTTATTTATTTATTTATTTATTTAGTTTATAACCATTTACTTTATTTTTATCCTGCCTTTCTCCCAATATAAAGACTCAAGGCGGTTCAGGGTATAAGCCTCTTTTACTGCGTCAATCTCCTTGTAATATGGTATTCTTCTTTTCCTACTATTTCCTTTTTTCCGATTGACCTTGCAATATTGTCTTCTCTGAGTCATGTGGTTTCGTGATATGTCCAATTACAATAGTCTTAGTTGAGGTATTTTGGCTTTCAGTCTTGATTTGCTCTAGGACACATTTATTTGTGTTTTTGGTAACCCATAGCATCTGTTAAACTGGCCTCAAGCACTTTTCAATGAGTTCATTTTCTTCTTGTTAGCTTTCTTCACTGTCCTGTTTTCACAACCATATTGTGAAAATCAAAAGTGCTATGAAATGGAGGCTCCGGAATGTGACTTTTCATTATTCCTCTACTACAGTGGTTCTCAATCTTTGGGTCCCCGGATGTTTTGGCCTGCAACTCCCAGAAATCCTAACAGCAGGTAAACTGGCTGGGATTTCTGGGAGTTGTAGGCCAAAACACCCGGGGAACCACAGATTGAGAACCACTGCTCTACTACATTGTCTTTCCCCCCCTTCCAATCTGAATATATACTCAGTAATATATGCATATCTCACCATTTGCCCCTCACCATTTGCCCCTAGGAATATGGGCAAATTGCTGTCCCAGTGGCCAAGTTAATCTTCACAACAACCCTGTGAAAAAGACTATGCTGAGAGCCAGCTATTGCCCTGTGTTCACTAAATTCCACAGCTAAATGGGCATTTGAACCTTGGTTTCTCAGATCTTAGTCTAAATATATATCCACATTGCAAATTTATGGCAGTTTGATACCACTTTAACTATCATGGCTCCATCCTACGACATCCTGGGGTTTGTAAATTAGTAAAGTCAGGTCCTTGTGCATTGGCACACCTGCCTTTCCCTTCTTGGGCAAAAGCTGCAGTCATAGTTAGACTACATTAAATGTACAGCGTTGATTAAATGCACTATATTAAATGTAAACCATGAAGCTGTATGTTATTGTCATTTTTGCCCATAAGAAAGCACATAGGGGCGTGAGTTATTTCTATCTCACTGCATAGATGTAGGAAAGGCTTAAATCTTCCCCAGGCCATCTTGTCACTAATCTCTTCCTTATAGGGGCAAAAAACAACAACCAATGAATGGACAATTCTTTTTTCATGCTTCTCAGATCACAAGTAGTTGTGAATTTTCAGAACTTGGGGTGAGGTAGGAATTAAATATTTTTTTATCTGTGTACAGTGGTCTCTATTCAGACAAGGAATGAAAGGACCGACCTGTGCTATACATATCTGCCATTAGAATACACATATACATATACTGTGCACACAGAACCACCAAATATGAACAGAACAGTCCCACAATGAGCACATTCTTAGGTAGCAGTATCAAACTTGTTCTCCAACAAGCCTCTGGGAATGTTCTTGCATTGCTCGCCCCACTATGATGGACAACTCTAATTTTAAAAGGTCTTGAGCTGACTGGTATTACATAATTTCCTCCAAGTCCTCTTGCTTTATTAAGGACCTTAAGTGACCCAATTCCAGCAGCATTTGGTCCATATAAAGTGACGCTTCATTGCTTTACATGCAGACATTGCTTAGAAGGGGTTGTAGCTCAGTAGTCATTCACATGCTGGACATATCGGAAAGTCTCCAGATCAGTTCTTAGCCTCTCCAGTTCCAAGAACAAGTAGCATTTTCTAGGAGATTTGAAAAGATGCTTTTAAGGACTGCAAGTCCCAAAATCTCCAGACATCTCTTGACACCTGGGAGATTCTAGGAAAAGTAATCCAAAAAAGATAACTCTTCTAAGTTCTACATTTTTTGTGAAAGTCCCCTGCCTGAGATAAGAGCGAGGGAGTCTATCTCCCCTTTTCTAACTGAGTCCAAGCAATTTGTTGCTATTCTAATCCAGTGAAGAATCAGATAAAGGTGAACAGTTGACACCGAATCCAGACAAAACAAAGTTGCTTCTAGTCATTCAAGAGGCAGAGCAAGGAATAGGGATTCAGCCTATGCTGGATAGGATTGTAATTCCCCTAAATACATAAGTTTGTATTTATTTCCTGTGCCTGAGCGCAGTCTGTTCAGCACCTTTCAAGTTGCCTGGTCTTCTGTGTTCCCAGGAGGGAGTATCTCATTTGGTATCAGCCATTCCTTGATTTAAGGCATTGGCATGCTGGCTGATATCTGAACAGAGGATGAGCCAGAGATGTCACTGCCTTGGTCCTTTCATTATTGGCTGCTACTTCCTGGCGGATGTCAGGGTGGTGCAATACCACCTAAACAGTATAATTTCTCCAGTAATGTGGGGCACAGACATCCTGTGATAAGGCAGTATATCTCATTAAGAGCCACATCCACAGTTTTAGTGTGGGGAGATGTGTTCCACACTGGGCATATGTACTCAGCAGCAGAGTAGCAAAGCGCAAGGGCAGATGTCTTCACTGAATCTGGTTGTGATCCCCAGGTTGTGCCAGTCAGCTTGCATATGATATTGTTTCTAGCACCCACTTTTTGCTTGATAGTCAGGCAGTGCTCCTTGTAAGTCATGAGAGAAGTCTCCCTACAGGATGGTAACACATCCAGGCATCTCCTGGGCAACTTCTTTGTAGACAGCTGAGTCTCTCACACCAGAAACAACATGCAACATGAAACCAACCAAACAAACACAGGTTTGTACCTTCGGTGTATTCCTAGATTCAGCACTCACCCTGGATGATAAGGTTTCTGCATTGGCCAGACATGCATTTGCCCAGTTAGTGTGCCAGCTACACTTGTTCATTGGGATGTTTAATGTGGCCAAGGTGACACAGCATGACTTAGCTGTATTGTAAATGAATTACTATAATGCACAAAATGTGGGGCTGTTCTTGGAGAGTCTTCAGAAACTTGGTCCAAAAAAACTGTAGCCAAGTTTGTTAACAAGTGTTGGTTACAGGTAGCACACAACTCCCTTGCTGCAAAAGCTCCACTGACTGCTGGTTCATTTTGGGGCTCAATTCAAAGTGGTGGTTATGGTCTCAAAAGCCCTATGGGGCCCAAGCACAGCTTATTTGAAGGACAATATCTTCCCATATAGGCCAGCCCAAGCTCTAAAGTCTATAGAGGAGGCACATCTTTCTATCTCACCACCTTCACATCCAGAATTGGGAGGGGGGAGGGATAAAGGAAAAGCTCTGCAGCTGCTTCCACACACTTTGGAAGCATTTCTATAGAATGAGTTCTTCTTCGTCATCCCTTCAGTGGCAGGTTATGACCTTTCTTTTCCAGTAAGCCTTTGCAAATTGATTTTTAACAGGAACATAGTTTTTTATAGAGCTGTGCTGTTTTAATCTTTGTCTTAAAGTAAGATTTTAAATGGTTTTAATTCTTTTATTGTGTGCTTTAATATTAATTCTGCATGTTTTTCACTCCATGTGTATTTATTGTGATTTTCTGTCTCTTTCAAAGCAGACTTAAGTCCCAGTCTGTAAAAAAGACAAGATATATAAAATGATAGGTGGAGAGATAAATAGATGGGTGGATAATTACTACCAGTCAGAATAAATCAACCATCTTCAAGCTGAAGCTAGCCAAATGGACTTCAGTACCTTTCATTTTGAGTAACCATGCTGTCTGAGGTGAGATTTATAGCTCAGCACATCTGGAGGATATCTCCTTGGCGGGGGCTGAAGTAGATAATATCAGGCTCAACAAACAATAAATCTGACCTCATGGAGGATAGATGCCTATGCTCCAATGAGCCAGCACAACTCTCCCTGCTAACAATCAGCTCTACCATGAGGAACCTGAAGGTCACAGAAGGATCTCATGTAGGATATAAGCAGCCTATAAACCAGGTATGGGCAAACTTCATCCTTCCAGGTGTTTTGGACTTCAACACCTACAATTCCTAACACCTGGCAGGCTGTTAGGAATTATGGGAGTTAAAGTCCAAAACATCTGGAGGATCGAAGTTTGTCCATGCCTGCTATAGGCCCAGATATTCTCCATTCCTATGTTAGGACATGGGTTCATGTTTTTGAACACCTATGTTTCACACACAGCTGAGAACTGGATGTTATGCCATCCACACCATAGCATACAAATACGGAGAGCACAGAAAAGTTACTTTTTTGAACGACAACTCCCAGAACCCCCCGAGCAGATTTTGGTACAATCTCTAGCTTCAAAGGGTCCTAAAGCATTTGCCACTCCTTCAGTGAGTCCTATAGTTCTGGCCAACAGAATGGATCAAACCAAGCACAACATCACCAACCAGTCAAGAGTACTCGTCAGTATCTCAGAATATAGCTATGAACTCTTAACCTTCTTCTGAGTTTCCCACAAGAAGATGCCTGGTGTACCAGGGTGGGAAAGATGATTTGATGCACCAGGACTCTTCTCAGGGATAGACCAAAGACACTGCACAATCTAAGGCAAATAATATAATCACACACCCCTCTCTTCCACTTACATAAACCAACCAAACCAACAGCTGAATCTATCTTCAACACATGGACGTCCCAAAAAATCTTCCAATATACCTGAAAGGAGCAGGTTAGTTTAGGGTAGGCATGGGCAAAGTATATTACAGCCCACAGATGTGATGGTTTTTTGGTTTCCACAGATTTTTTTAAAATGAAGAACATTTCAGAAAACATGTGTTTCCCTCAAATACCACAAACATTTTCTAAGGAATATTATTGGGGAGGGGGAGAGTAATACAATTTCTCCTTCTTGTCTTAGATGACCAATGCTACACCTTTCCCAAAACCCTGCTGGGCTCCTGGTCTGTGGTTCCCATCTCCTTTG